GTATAAATATTGATTTTGTTATCAGTAAATTAAAAACATACTAAATATTATTGCTTATAATACACATATGCACATTCACAGTACTACAATCTGTCAATACCTATATTTTGGCATTGCACAAGGTCATGTTTTTCTCCGACTGTTAATAACATCTTTGCACTAAATCCATTGTATGTTGGATGTGTAGTGATTGATATTTTAGTCTTAGATACATGATTTTTTTTAAGTTGTTATTGGCTTTGAACTAGCTGTCAGTAACTGTGATTACTCTCTGATCTGTACTTAAATGTGTCTTTTTTGTTGTGGGGGATGTATAACTTCTTTGCCATGTCCAGTCTGTGTTTTTATTAGATGTTTTTTCTGCTTTGTATTGATCTGATGAGTTGAGCACTTTTCAACTGATTTTTATAGCTTATTCTTATGTTGTACTGTTACACCACTGTCCCAGGTTAAGGGAGGGTTCGCACTCTTAAACATGATTAACCCTGCTACATTCTTTATGTGTCTGTACAAATTTGTGATTTGTCTATACTGTATGGGTTTTTCTATTGTTGGAGGCCTTACAGTTGCATCATAATTGCTTAAATCCACTTCATTTGAACTTTGGTGGATAGTTGTCTCATAGGCAATCATACCACATCTCCTTATTTTTATATCAAGGTCAGATGAAACCTGCCAGACAGACATGTACACCTTACAATCATTCCATACCTCAAATATAGCGGCCCCATTGCTTATAGTATCTGAGAAATAGACCAAATTACAACAAGAGTGCACATGCTGAAATGTCTCCCCTGTTTTACTGACCATTGGTTTTATGTTGAAAGTCTTAAAGATAAAGGTTTCACTACAAGTATCACATAAACTTAATGTTCTTAAAAATCCATGACAATTAATGAGGTCAAGGTCAAATAAAAACTGTCACACAGACATGTACACCTTACAATTATTCCATACACCAAATTTAGTTGACCCATTGGGTATGTTAATCGAAAAACAGACCAAAACACAAGAACTTAATGTTAACCAATGAACCATGGAAAAGGTCAGATGATACTGGCTAGACAGACATGTACACCTTACAATCATTCCATACACCAATGATAGTTGACCTATTGCTATTCGTATTTGAGAAACAGACTAAAAAACAAAAAATTAACATTGACCAATGAACCATAAAAATTAGGTCAAGGTCAGATGACACCAGCTAGACAGACATGTACTCCTTACAATCATTTCATACACCAAATATAGTTGACCTATTGCTTACAGTACTTGAAAAACAGACCAAAACACAAAATTAACAATTACTAATGAACCATGAAAATGAGGTCAAGGTCAGATGAAACCTGTCAGTCTGACATGTACCCCTTACAATCATTCCATACACCACATATAGTTGACCTTCTGCTTGTAGTATCTGAGAAACGGACCTAATCATGTAACTTTAACCTTTGATCACTGATCCATGAATTGAGGTCAAGGTCAGGTTAACCCTGTCTGATGGACATGAAGACGTTGCAAGGAACCCATATACCAAATATTGTTATCCTATTACTCATAATAAGTGAGAAATTCACATGACAAAAAAACTATAATTTTTTTTTCAAGCAGTCAGTGAACCATGAAAATGAGGTCAAGGACAATGGGCATATGACAGACGGAAACTTTGTAACATAAGGTATCTGCATACAAGGTATGAAGCATCCAGGTCTTCTACCTTCTGAAATATAAAGCTTTGTACAAATAGTTTACGCCACTGCTGCCGCCGGATAGTAATACCTTTGTCTCGCATAATGCGACTTTCGTCTCAGGCGAGACAAAAACTTAACATTGACCAATGAACCATGAAAATGAGGTCAAGGTCAGATTAAACCTGCCAGTCTGACATTTACACAATCATTCCATTCACCAAACATAGTTGATGTATAATGCTTATAGTATCTGAGACACTGACTTGACCACAAAAACTTAACCTTAATCACTGATCCATGAAATGAGGTCGAGGTTAGGTGAACCCTGTCTGACAGACATGTAGACCTTGATAGGATCCCATATACTAAATATAGTTATCCTATTTCATGAGTAATTTACATGACAAAAAAACAGCATTTTTTTCAAGCCTGAACCCTGAAAATGAGGGCAAGGACAATGGACATTTTACAGACAGAAACTTCGTAACATAAGGTATATGCATACAAGGTATGAAGATTCCAGGTCTTCTACCTTTTGAAATAAAAAGATTTATACAAATAGTTTACGCTGATGTCGGATTATAATCCCTAAGCTTATACAAATAGTTTACACTGATGTTGGATTATAATCCCTAAGCTTATACAAATAGTTTACTCTAATGTCCGATTATAATCCCTAAGCCTCGCGTTCTGTGACTTTTGTCAATGGCACAAAAACTAAGTTTCTACCCAAATTTTGACATAAGGAATCAATTATGAAAGCATAATATACCTATATATATACATTTTGATTGAAATCCAAACACAAAAAGATGTTTTTCTAAATTTGTCAGTTTTAAAATAACAAGCATTCTGTGAGAATGGCATGGCAATACATAGTCCCCTACCTGTTAAAAACTCATTGCATTGGAACAAAATTCCAACTTGATCTATAACTTGTCATGGTGTAAACTATATAACAAATATCAAGTCAATATCTTCAAGCATGACGAAAAAAAGTGTTGAAAACTGATTATTTAAGTGAATTTTTTAAGTCCAAGGACCATAACTATGCACAAAATCATCAGACCAGAACAAAATTTGCTTGATCTGTAACTTGTTATGATAAAACTATATACCAATTTTCAAATCAATATCTTCAAGCATGACGAAAAAAGTGCAGAAAACTTATTATTTGAGTGAATTTTCTAAGTCCAAGGACCCTAACTCTGCACAAAATCATTAGACCAGAATAAAATTCAAACTTAGACTGTAACTTGTCATGACAATACTATTACCAATTATCAAATCAATATCTTCAAGAATGACAAAAAAAAAATGCGAAAAACTGATTATTTTAGTGATTTTTCTAAGTCAAAGGACCATAACTATGCACAAAACATCAGACCGGAACAAAATTCAAACTTGATCTGTAACTTGTCATGATAAAACAATACACTAAATATCAAATCAATATCTTCAAGCATGAAGAAAAAAAGTGTGGAAAACTGATTTGCCAGACTGACGGATGGACAGACAGACAGACGGAGTGCAAACCTAAAGTCCCCTTCGACTTCGTGGGTAGGGGAATAAAAAGTAAGTTTTTACCCCCATTTTATTTGATATTCTAGTATAAAATTATGTTCCTCAAAATTTGTGAATTTTTTAGGAAAAGAAAGTAAATATCACATTTTTTGAATTGTTGGTGCCTCCAATCAATTTGGAATAACTTAAATATAAATTATATTTTGTTGAAATCCTGGCACAAAAAGACAATTCTCACAATTTAATAAGTTTTGAAAAATGATTCCAATAAAATTTCTCTTTTACACTTACAATTTGACAATAGGAATTTGGATCAGCAAATTATATCTACATGTTTTGTTGAAAATGGTAGAAAAAAGATGTCTCTCAAAATTTGTAAACTTTTAACAAAAACTATGTTTTTTTTTATGGCCAATCCTTCCCTCCCCCCCCCCCCCCTCCTTTACAAGTTTCATACAAGAATCTTGACACAAGGAAACAATTTTTGGTAGCATATTATACCTTAAAATCAATTTTTGCTGAAATTTTAGCACAATAAAATGTTTGTCCAATTTCCCCCAAATATTATCACAAAAATCAATTTCTCACAGTTGGAATCAATTTTGAATATCATATCATAACCTATACGTCCTATTTATCTATTTTTGTTAGAATTCAAGCACCATAGTATGTTTCTAAAAATTTGTGTTTTTTTTTATTTAAAATAAGTTTTTAACCCTAATGTTTGTCAAAATTTCATATAAATTAATTGTCACCTTTCATTAAAGGGTATTTTCACTGTTATCAATTTATTGAAATCGGTAAGGGCAATATTGACTTATCATCCAATTAGAAGTGGTATCAAACAAACAGATAACAGATGTACAGACAACTACTGTGGATTCATTTAATTTCGTGGATATCAATTTTCGTGGATTGCTGAAAACTTGCATATTCGTTGATATTTGATTTCGTGCTTTTGCCAATCTCTGGATACAAAGCCTATTGAACATATGTTATTCGTTGAACATTTGAATTCGTGGTTCACCTGTACCCACGAAACCCACGAAAATTGGTATCCAACGAATAATAATGAATCCACAGTATAAGGCATCCCCTGGCTATGCAGTGTCACCTTGATAATTAATGCTCACATGTTACAACTCATCATTGTAAAGCTGCTGAACAAATATGAAGTCATTTTGGTCAGCTGCTCTGGAGAAATATGGGACGGACATATTTTTTGAACGAACAAAAGAACGTACAGATGCAAAAACAAGATGATTTCACAATATAGCCCACTCCTAGAGTTGGGGTATAACAGTAGCTCTAAATTGCCAAGAGTCGAAATATGTTTTGTATAAATTTGACAGTACTTCCAACATTAAATTATCCAAATAACAAAATAGATATTATGATATGAAAAAAGTAAACATCTGGCTAGGTTCCTGGCTGAAGAAAGGCACATACACATGTGGTATGTTGTTTTTTTTACAAAATATGTACTAGTACTATAAAAGTGAAAAAAAATTACATATCTATCTCATCCATTATTTTCATACAGTCCTCCAAAGAATGGGTTTTCATATTCCAAAATTAAAAAGTCATTCAAGACAATACCCGTAATAGCAAAAAATAAAAATGATTTAATTTTTTTTAAATTAGAAATGCCAATTATCTGTGCAGGGCATGGTCAAAGTGAGCATGAATTCAGTGACAAATAGACAACAGGTTACAAATATGCATTATCCAGCAGCTTTTTTTCTGCAAACATTTTCATAAATTTACATTCTGACAACAAGGTGTATTTAATTTTTTATTAAAATCAATTTTAAACTCCAGACATGCAACTTGCTTAAATTATATAATGAGAGAAATATCATGAATATTGTTAAGTTATGAAAGGATTTAGAAAAATTATCGTATTAATACTTTCATATGACAGTTTTACATTATAAAAAAAAAATATAGACATGATTAGTCATTGTATTGAGAATCAGCCATCAGTTTCATCATTAAAATGTCTTTTAAATTGAATTGCCACATCGTCAGTTGTTTTATGAGCCACTTTAAGGTAGATCATCAGTCCAGCAAATGCTGCAATTATTCCTAAAATAATCATTCCTATTGCTAAGCCAGCCATAGAACCTGAAAAAAAAGATAAAATTCAATAAAATAATGTGATCAAAGGCATTTATTAATATTGTAAATTAAAACTAGCTTTTTGTTTAAGCAAATACTTACTACTGCCACAAGTCTATTTAAAGCAATCAAAAATTTCTAATTATTTTGCTACACATACACTTGTATGACCGGGTAATTGATCATTGAATATTCCACTTTTTAATTCACAGATGTAAATTTTTCATGTAAATAAAATTAAAAGAAATTTGACCTTTTTTTCAATACAGACCTCACAATCAAATGTTAATAGGATTTAATATACCACATTTCATGGGTTAAAGGAAACTGTACTGTGCAACAATATGACATGGCACACCTTAAAACAAAATCACCAATGTCTTGACTTCAAAATTGACTCTTTTCACCTTTACATATCATAAACAATCTTTCTGTCAAATGTATCTCATTTCTACTAAAACAATCAAGAAGTTTAAAAAAAAGGCTCTGTTTTTCTATTTTATACAGATAAAACATTCACTGACATTCCTTTGAAACTCTAGTGTGGGTAGAATATGTAATCATAGTGACTGTTCTATGATACAATCTTAAATATTAGGATAAAAAGAGAAATTGTGTTTGACACTCGTGATATATTATACTCAGTTTATTTTCCACCAATTTTTATAATCTTTTACTGATATTCTACAATTAAACAAGAGGCTGTCAGAGTGACAGCAAACCGGATTTTCCTGCAGAGGTCGAACCCTGAACAGTTGAGCAAGTATGGACACTACATTTAAGCTTAAAACAGCTCTGAATTTGGATTGTGATTGAATATTTGACACAGCATAGGTTTGTGACACAAAATGAATGTGGTTTAAGAACTGAAATACTTGAAATTGGACATTTAAATACCTATTATAGTCCAATATCAAAAATCTAAGTACATATTAGAATCAGAATATCAAAGAACCCCAAGAATTCAATTTTTGATGAAATCAGACAAAAGTTTAATTTAAGACCCTTTGGACCTCAATGTAGACCAATTTGATAAAGGAGCCCACAATCCAAAATCTCTCAATACATGGTTAGATTCAGCATTTCAAGGAACCCCATAAATTATTTTTTTGTTGAATCAAACAAAGTTTAATTTTGGACCCTGATTTGGACCAACTTGAAAACTGGGCCCAAAAATCTAATATTTAAATACAGGTTTAGATTCAGCATTTGAAAGAACCCTATATATATATTTAATTTATGTTGAAATAAAACACAGGTTAATTTTATCCATAATATTTTCTGTGCAAAGGGAAATAACTCAAACTGGATAAATAGTTCTCTAAAATAAGATATGATGCAATTTTTCAAATTATAATCAATAATATAATAACAACAACCACTGATGACTAAGTTCTCTAAAATTAGATATGATTTAACACTCAAACATTGTTAGAATCAGCATATCAAAGAACCAAAGAATTCAATTTTTGATGAAATTAATCAAAAGTGTAATTTAGGACCCTTTGGACCTCAATGAGGTATTATCTTATAAATAATGAAAAGAAATACAGGTTTAGATTAAGCATTTCAAAGAACCCTATATATATTCAATTTATATTGAAATCAAACACAGTTTAATTTTGGACCCCAATTTGGACCAACTTGAAAACTGGGCCCAAAATCAGAACCCTAAATATATGTTTATTGACAATATAAGCTTAGTTTTTAAAGGAGTTTACTACATCAAAAAAAAAAATTTATAGCATTCAGAAAATTAGTTTTTACAGAATAACAAACAAACTTGCCACAAAATTCTACAAACAATTTACCAAAGAAAAGAAGACAAAAATCCAAAATTTTATTTATCCTTAATACAATGTCATTTCAAAATCTATAAAACTTATCAGTAACAAGAAATAAATGTAACAGAATGCTGTTACGAAGTCTCCCAAACAAAGCTCCAATAATTCGTTATTTCCATTGTTACTTGACATTGGGCAATGTCCAGTACAAATTGGTTTATGATATGCATTAGTGATGCCTATGGATTGACCCTGTATGTCATTCAAATCTTCTTGAAATTACAAACAGGAATTTATATGGTTTAGGGGTGGAGATCTTGACCGTTTACAAGTTCTCAAAAGGGGGGGGGGGAGGGTGGCAGTGATCCCCAGGGGACTCTCCCTTTATTTCATTTGACTTGTTTTATGGTCCCATACAAGAATATATATGGTTTCTGCGTGGGGATCTTGACCGTTTACAAGTTTTCAAAAAGAAGGGGGGTGGGGTGACCCCCATGGACTTCCCCTATATTTCATTTGATTTGTTTTATTGTCCCGTACAAGAATATATATGGTTGAGGGGTTGGGATCTTGACCGTTTACAAGTTCTCAAACAGAAGGGGGGTGGGGTGACCCCCATGGACTTCCCCTATATTTCATTTGATTTGTTTTATTGTCCCGTACAAGAATATATATGGTTGAGGGGTGGGGATCTCGACCGTTTACAAGTTCTCAAACAGAAAGGGGTGGGGGTGACCCCAGGGGACTCGCCTTTTATTTCATATGATTTGTTTTATTGTCCCATACAAGAATATATATAGTTTCAGGGTGTTGATCTTGACCGTTTACAAGTTTTCAAAAAGAAAGGGGGTGGGGGTGAACCCCATGGACTTCCCCTATATTTCATTTGATTTATTTTATTGTCCCATTCAAGAATATATATGGTTTAGGGGTGGGGATCTCGACCGTTTACTAGTTCTTAAACAGGATGGGGTGGGGTGACCCAAGGGGACCCGCCTTATATTTCATTTGATTTGTTTTATTGTCCCATACAAGAATATATATGGTTTCGGGGTGGGGATTTTGACCGTTTACAATTTTTCAAAAAGAAGGGGGTGGGTTGACCCTCATGGACTTCCCCTATATTTCATTTGATTTGTTTTATTGTCCCGTACAAGAATATATATGGTTGAGGGGTGGGGATCTCGACCGTTTACTAGTTCTTAAACAGGATGGGGTGGGGTGACCCAAGGGGACCCGCCTTATATTTCATTTGATTTGTTTTATTGTCCCATACAAGAATATATATGGTTTCGGGGTGGGGATTTTGACCGTTTACAATTTTTCAAAAAGAAGGGGGTGGGGGTGACCCCAGGGGACTCCCCCTTAATTCTATTTGATTTCTTTTATTGTCCTATTCAAGAATATATATGGTTTAGGGGTGGGGATCTCGACTGTTTACAAAGTTATCAAAAAGAAGGGGGGTGGGGGTGACCCCTATGGACTTCCCCTATATTTCATTTCATTTGTTTTATTGTCCCATTCAAGAATATATATGGTTTAGGGGTGGGGATCTCGACCGTTTACAAGTTCTTAAACAGGATGGGGTGGGGTGACCCCCAGGGGACCTGCCTTTTATTTCATTTGATTTGTTTTATTGTCCCATACAACAATATATATGGTTTCAGGGTGGGGATTTTGACTGTTTACAAGATTTCAAAAAGAAGGGGGGTGGGGGTGACCCCCATGGACTTCCCCTATATTTCATTTGATTTGTGTTATTGTCCCGTACAAGAATATATATGGTTTAGGGGTGGGGATCTCGACCATTTACAAGTTCTTAAACAGGAGGGGGTGGGGGTGACCCCAGGGGACTCGCCTTTTATTTCATTTGATTTGTTTTATTGTCCCATACAAGAAGATATATGGTTTCGGGGTGGGGATCTTGACCGTTTACAAGTTTCCAAAAAGAAGGGGGATGGGGGTGAACCCGGGGACTCCCCAAATATTTCATTTGATTTGTCTTTATGTCCCATACAAGAATATATGGTTTAGGGGTGGGGATCTCAACCATTTACAAGATAAAAGCACATTCTTAAATTGAAAGGGGGTGGGGGTAAGAATATATATGGTTTAGGGAGACTTAATTATCTACAAAATGTCTAATAATGAACAGTAAATTTCAAATTTCATTTATACAGTCCTTCCAGTAAATTTCAAACTTTATATATACAGTCCTACAGATCTTATCAGGAAACAGAAAATTTTCAAATAAATCTATCACTCCAATGATATTATATGCTAAGATATAACCCAGATCTAATTAATAATTAATAATGTAATTAACTTCAAAATGTCTAATAATATAGCTTATAATCATTACCACTTAGGAAATAGATAATTTTCAAATAAATCTGTCACTCCAATTTTTATTGTGAGACAAGACATCATGCTTAGTCATAAAAAAGATAACAAGAGTAAAATATTTAAAAATTCCACTTTTGGATATTAAAAATGGCGATAACTCACAAAGGAGATATACTAAAATCTTGAAAATTGAACTAGACCTTCATTAAGTCCCAGGAATTTTAAAAATGTAATGGAGTTTGTTTTATTATAGCTAACTAATTGCTAATTTTTTATCATGATAGTATTGCTATATAACTAGCAAGATTTCTTTGAGAAATTCATTCCATTCAAGATACTAAACCATGTCAAGTGATCTTACCTCCCGTGTACCCTGATTTAGTTGGTTTTGTTCCATAGTACTTCGATGCATTAGGAGTATATGCAGTTCCATCAGGGAAAGATTGTCCTGAAAAAGGTTTAAAGTAAAGTTGAAAAAATATCTTACTTCTGAAATGTATTAAAAATTGAGAATCCATAAAAACTTACTATAACTCCATATATATGCTACAAAGATGGTGAAAACATATATGCTCATCCTTTTTCTAGACACCAATTATAGATTTTTAAAACTACCTTTCAACTACTGTCATTAGATTAGTAACAGCAATATTATAAAAATACTACCGTATAGCGGGTTATTTTCGTGGGGTGTTTATTTTTGCTTATTTTGGCGGGTCAGGGGAAATCGCGAAAATAAATTCTGCGAAAATTTCTGCATACATTCAATACTTTCTAATAGATAAAGAGTTTTGTAAACTATCTATTTTCTTTCCGTTTGACAGATCAATAACGGTTTATGTTAATTTAAACAACATAAATGCCAAAGGCCATTGGTCACTGACTGTTATGTGTTAATTAGTTTATTGGTTACATAATAAACTTAATAATAATACAAGAGTGTAAGAGGTACGCTTGTCAGGTATTTTATCCTTATCAATTAGTGTCAAATCATATAAGAGTTGCAAGTCACTCATGATTAAGTTTTATAATCTAATTAGTACATCAAAGGTCCGTTCAATTTAGTAACTTATTAACCGTAACATTTACAAGAAGTTTGTACACCTGTAACAAATAACTATGTACCGGTATTCTATTGATTAACTGTATCAAAATATAATCAATAAATAAGACGTCATGCAGGTAAAACAATTATTTAACCATAATAAAATGCCCTTGTTTGTCAATTTGTACAACTTTGTAACAGCAACCATTTCAGTATCCGCTAAAATATTTAATTGGGATTAAAGAATCCGCCAAAATTTTTTGTATGCTTTGTTGCCTGTAAATCGCGAAATTTTACACCCGCGAAAATAACCCGCTATACAGAATTCCTGGGATATAATTGTACATCCTAGTATTCCTGGAACCATTTTCGTGCACATTCAGCCAATATTTGTAAATTTCAAATTTATAAACACATAAAAATTTCTTATATGTAAATTAAAAAGTATACAGTTCTTTGTACCAACAATAACTATGACTTTTAGTTGAATATAAAGAAGATGGTTCTAGGAGCCTTAATTGCTACGATAGCAAATTTACTTGCTCTCAAGAGAAGAAAAAATTTCAGACAAATTTTCCTTCAGATGGTTTTGTTATCATCAATCCCCTCAAGTTTATAAATGTTTTGCCTTGTAGTTTAAACTGAAAAGATTTTCAAAAATTGGCTTATTAGAATTAAGATTGCCTCTAGAAGTTATACATACTAATGGGGTTAAAATTGACCAAATAGATTTAGAGAACATAAAAATGTGATTTCTACCCAGAGTTTCAATAAGATTTGTGCCACCAATACCCCCATGTCTGCCACTTGATTAACTTTATGTCTCCTTAAGATTCAAAACATTTTGCTTTGTAGTTTCAGAGAAAAAGATTCTTGAAAATTATACCCCAGATTAAAAAAAAGGTTGATTTTGCAAACTTGTTCTTGAGTAACTCAAGTGCAATCCTTAGTTGTCAAGCTGATTCCACAGATCACCCACCTGCAAGCATAACTCAAAAGTGACACTTATCATTCCACAGATCATCCACCTGCAAACATAACTCATTAGTGACATGTATCATTCCCATTTAACATAGTGGGAAACATTAATTTACTGAATGAATCCACAAACTTTGATGGTGTTTTTGCATGATAATCAAACTATTTATTTATGCTTATCATGGGAGAAAAAGATTGGACACATTGTAAATTTATAAGTTTGTTTTTATGCCTTTTTTTAAATGATCTGAAATGTACTAAATAACTGATCAATGTGACTCTACATCTGAATCATAAGTGACTCTTACTTCTTCATATTGGTTACTATGGTAACTAAATGTAAAACTATACTTACTTGTATACAGATCACAGTATGCATTTGTCTGAGCTATGACTTGACCCCCTTTAATGGAGTTAGAAGTAAGTCTACATTCAGTCAAGTTGCCACAATAGTTAAAGCTAGCACAACTAAATGTCTCCTCTTGAACACATAATTTGGCACACTGAGAAGCATCTATCCCAGAAATGATTCTGTTATTTACAAGTGGAATTTGAGATCTTGCTTTCTTCTTAAAATCATCCATGTAATTTCCTGTAAAGTTGACATTTTTTTTTATTATATTTTGAAGTTTTCATCAGTTACCTCTTCAGACCTTTCATATTTCAACGGAAAATTCTTGTCTTAGATAAAATCTCCTTTGAAGAGGCATTAGCTGTCAAATTCATGATCACCAATTTGACTCAAACTCTCATATTTCATTTATAACATACTAAAACGTATATCCAAATTACAAAAAGTCTATAATAAACATTTAATAAATGTGGATAGTGTCCACATGTGGACACAGATGATGCCCCCGCTTGCATATCATATAGCTATAAAGGGACATAACTGAAGAACAATAAAGTGACGCTACCCAAATTTGAACTTGATCTGAGTTTTGTGGTAATAAGCATTGTGTGTAAGTCTCATAACATTTGGTTGAGGCTAACTTAAGTAGAGAACAGAAACAAAAAATTCAGCAATTTTTCTATTTGTCAACATGCATATCTCTAGAACAGTTGTGTATAAGTTTTATAATATTTGGTTGAGACAAACTAAAAAATTCAGCAATTTTTATGTTTACAAAGGGACATAACTCAAGAATGGTAAAAGTGTCGCCACCAAATTTCGTACTTAATCTGTATTATGTAGTAATAAGCATTGTGTATAAGTTTCATAACATTTGGTTGAGGCAAACTAAAGTTAGAAAACAGAAACAAAAAATTTGTACTTGATCTTAGTTTTGTGGTAATGAATATTGTGTATAGGTTTCATAATGTTTGGTTGGGGCAAACTTAAGTTACAGAATGGAAACTAAAAATTTTTCAATCTTTCGATTTATAAAGGGGCATAACTCAATAATGGTTAAGGCTCTAGAACGGTTAAGGTGACGCCACCAAAATTCAAACTTGATCTGTGTTTTGTGGTAATAAGCATTGTGTATAAGTTTCATTACATTTGGTTGAGGCAAACTCAAGTTAGAGAACAGAAACCAATTTTGGGACGTACGGACGGACGTACAGACGGACAAGGGTAAAACTTAATGCCCCCTCCGCTACGGTGGGGGACATAAAATACATGGACTTGATAATATAAATCAGCATATATAAATCAGCATTTCGTGTTATTTAAGTCTAGACACCATCTAATTAACCATCGAGATTACCTCCGAAGACTGCAGACGGTCATATAACTCAATATAAACATAAATATAAATATAAATGCAATAACACAATTTATAATACAATTATTACTCTCATCTTTTGAAAAGAACATTTGGTTCAATTATAATTCATATTATATATACAATGAAACCTGTTTTAAGAGACCACTAAGGGGAGACAACAAAAGTGGTCTCATATGACAGGTGGTCTTTTAATACAGGTTCAATCTATATGAAATGCACTACAGAGGGACCTTAAATTAATGGTCTTATAACACAGGGTTTTGCTTAATACAGGTGGGCTCTAAAGCAGGTTTTTCTGTAGATATATGTACTTATGTGGTACCATTATACAATATTAAGCAATGAGAAATAAATCATTTAAATATGCATGGGCAGAGACAGAAATCATGTATAACAAAAAAGACAATGTTACTAGATCCACATATATTTGTTTGTTTCTATTAAGGCAAATGCAACTGAAATGTTATTTGCCATCAAAGAATGTGTTATAATACATATTGAAGTAGCACTTTTGTTTAACTTACTTGACCAGTGATTACAAAGAAGATCAGATTTAATATTGGTTTGTGGTGCGTCATAGTAATGAGTTTTTCCCAAGAAACAGGTCCCAATATCTGTACAGAAGTCAAATGACTTGCAGCTAAATCCATTATAGTCCACACACAGTTTGGCACACTGGTTTTCATCGAAAATGTTCTGATAGATTGTGTCCGAGTTGGACAAAACAGTTGTACCAGCAATCTTTGAGAACTTTGCTGTATAATCACCTAAAATACAAGTTAATAACATGTATCTTGTGAACTTGGCTGTACAATCAACAATAGTGTAATTTACACATGATAAATAGCGCTGTAATCATGTTCTCCACTGCAGATCTGTTCTACCATATCTTAATGTAAACCAATGTAATGTAAACCAACTTATTTTGGTAAATACCCTTTTCATGTTTAGCCCTTTCTAGACATCTTTGCTGTGATTTATTTAGAATCTCTAACATTGTTGATGTATTCTTTCAAGAGATTATCTACATTTGATATATTTATAAATATTAATAATTTAAGAAAAATTCAAAATAGATTTTTAATGATATCTAAAAGAGTTAATATTTCTGAAGTATGTTATTTGCCAGATTTATAAAACTTTGTTATTTCTTAGATCAAAGGGGCTTAAAAAGTTTATCCTTTATAAGATCCTACTCCTAAGCAAACTAAAGTTATCTTGCAGACAATATTTGTTTCACAGGTAAGTGACAAACAGAAAAACAAACCACAGTGGCAGATCCAGGGGTGTTCCCGTGGTTTGAACCCCCTTTTTGTTTGATAACTAATGCTTTCCTTTTGTATGGGGACATATGGTTGGAACTCTCCCTTTTTATATGACTTGCATGTGTTGGAACCCCTCATTTAAAAATGGCTTGTTCCGCGCCTGAACCAGTTACAATATATATGTTCTCAATAAGAATTTTTGGGAAGCTTGATTTATGTATATCAAAGGCATTACAGGCTAACACATTTCATATACAATCAGACAATACATACGTATATATAAATCAAATCCATTTTGATTTTTGATGAGTTTAGGAGTTTCATCTGGATGAATATGAGACAGGTAACAAGTTCCTGAGTTGTAGTCATATTCAAATGAGGAACAAACAAAAGAGTCCTCAGTCACACATGAGGCAGCACAATCATCCACAGACAATCCCGTCAAAATCAGGTCATCGTAGTTTGGTACTACCTTGTTGTTTAATAACTGGAACTGATTCAGTGTAGACACTAAAACAATACATAACATTCATATAGCTAGATCTTTTTTTGCATTCACTGTTGATTAATTTAATTTTGAAAAGTATCTTATCTAACAGTATTATGAGAAGTTACTGTTTTGTCGATATTTAAGTTTCATGGTCTGAACAAAGAAAAGCTTTATAACAATTCAAATTTGTGGAATACTTCTTCCAATAAAATATAGTTACTAGTATGAAGAAGAAAAATGCTTTACAGTATTTATCAATAAAAGGAGATGTGGATGGAGTATATAATGAGACATATTGTATATATATTATATGCATTAGTAGCTTTTTGTGAATACATTTCTTTGTTTTTATGATTGCTTAAACTTATGTCACATATTTTTTGGGGCAAAGCTGTTTCCTTTAAGTTCTTTCATCAAAAATCTTAAAATGTAATGAATCATTATCTATGATACCATACAATTCCTTTACATAAGATTTTACACATTTACTCTCCCTTTGAAAATGTGCGAGTATAAAACTTGGCAAGTACCAATACATGTCATTATCCCCTGTTCCATCTGGTGGTAAATCCTAGTATAAAACGTATTCTGTTTTTTCCCTTAAATTTGGGACTTTTTCTTCTTATCTTAACTAACAATGCTTTCATGGGACATTTGTTATACCTTTTCCTGTAATCTGAGCATAACAATGAGAAACCAGCACTGACAACCCTTCCAAACAATGGGTTTCACTCATAGTTTGTAACAGGGTTCATATGACTAAAATTCGGTTTTGTATAATATTTTGTGGAATATTGTGTATCGTTTCATCTTTTACAGCCATATGACTTTGCAATGGCTCCATGGTATTTTTCAATTTTTTATTTGTCTTTACATTTGTAACAAGAAGAAACTAAACTTACCAGCTGATGGATTTCTGTTTTGTCCAGTGGTAATAGCATTACTAATATCTGATGCTGTGTACTGCATATTCTTTAAAAAAAAAAGATGTTTTCATTTAGTGTAATTGGATTATATTCAAATCATTCTTCAAATTATAAAGTCCAATAGGATTAGGTATGGAAAAAAAATGAAAGCCCTTCAGCCTAACCACACAGGTTTCAAATGTTTTTTTTATAGAAATAATCAAGAAATACTATTATAGCTCCTTTAAAAATTTTAAACATGAAAATAAATTTTGTTAACTTCAAAATATCTTTTTTCCCCAAATTTCATAACTTTATAGCAAGTGAAAAAGTTATCTCCTGAAAAACTTGGTATATATAGATAGATTAACTTGGTTTAGTTTTTACATATTTTTCATCCAAAAGGATTAGACACAAGTTTTTTTTAACTAGAATGCCCACAACACAAAACATAATAACAGAACATATATATAGATATAAAATGGGAGGTAACTCTTAAGTTTTAATACGAAATATTCTTCCAATACTTCATACTAAAATGCCCTGTTTTACCTTATTTGGGAAGTTAATAGTTATCTGAACTGCTCCTTTTGTAACATTGTTCTTTAGATTCATCCAAGCTGTCTGCAAGGGTACCTCTGGTCTGGAATTCATATTTATTGTTTCTGAAAGTAAAACAAAGCAAACAGTTAAAATTACAGATTGTACGTTACAATTCTTCTCTGTTTGTTACAGTCTTGCTTCATCCTTTTTTTGTATTTGACTCATACTATAGGATTATTATTATGAATAGCTTGAAAAGTCCATTCCAGGTGATTACTTCTACTTACAACTTTTCATCATTTGCCTGTTTAGTTTTTATCAATAGTACTCACCTTACTGATTGAATTTCGGATTTTCCATTGTTCAGCATGTTCTTAGCCAAAACTTTTGAAAATAGTACCCAGAATGCATTATATTCTAAAACAGCAAATTATCATAGTATTTCTGAATTGGCAATTAGTTTTGTCAAACTAATCTTTTTAATTCTTCAATTTTGAAAGCAGACAATATTATTGTCAATGACCACAGCATAGTGTTGTTGAGAAATGGGGATAACTCTGCTTAAAGCAATCAATTCATCTTGAAATAAAAATCATTTACATATCAATAGACAGGTGGGATATTAACCTTCTTGCCATTAAAAATAATAGTATTTTTACCATAAATTTTAGCTGATATTGGGAATAAGGGGTAAAACTAGTCTTAAAAGCCAATGAGTTTCTAATTTTCTCAAATTTTGCATATCAAATTTAAGTACTTCAATAAAAAATAATTATGTTTTGATTAAAACTTTTCACGCCAAAATTACACCAACTATTGGTAGGTTGATTAACACATTCTGAGATTCTATAAACTACACAAACTTCAGACACATGCTCTAAAAATATTTTGCCAACATGCCATCTTCTTTAAGACATTATTTAGACACCTAAAAAAATATCTTAAAAAAACATCCAATTTTGATATTTGGTGAACATACAAGTCCTTCTCCTTTACTCTAGGGGTTATAACTTTAAATAAAAAGAGTTGAATATTCATTTTCCACTTGATATCTATGGCATCACAATACTTACTTATGTAATGACTACACTGAGCATTAGTTGCTAGCGTTTTTCCATCATCTAGTCCATCTTTACTGAGGGAACAAATCTGTGATGCTGGACAGTAATCAAAACTGAGACAGGTAAAGTTTTTATTACTATAACAATAACTGGCACAGTCTTGTGCTGAGGATATACTTGTATAACTGATGTCATTGTGGTTCTGTTTAACCATTCCAGGAATCTGCTTGAATTTGGCTGAAAATATTAATAAAATGAGTTAAATCAAATCCATAACTTAGATGCTTTTTTACTGTTCTAACTGTAGAAAATTATTAAAGAATCTGTTGTCAATAGAAGTTAACTTACTTTCTACTTACTAACATGTTTTTAACATATTTTTCTACTTACTAACATGTTTTTAACATATTATCTACAAAAAAATACATCCCAAAACTGTTAATAACATTAAGAGATTAAACATGAGCACATTTTGTTAAAAACTACCATATTCTGAAGCCATTAAATGTATCACTTTAGACCACAGGCACTTGTCTCAGAAAAAGATTTCCTATATACCCTAATAACACAAGGTACTTAACTCGCATTTTTGAAAAATGTCAGCCGGTCGCGAAATTCCGTTATATGCCGATTTCTTGGTTGTCGACCCCACTAAAACTTGTTATGTGGTAAATCTAAATTGATTTTTCTACACAATGGAGTATAACACGCCTACTTTTGTTGTCGGAATCATCTGTAGCAGGCCTACCCAAGTATGTCAATCGTCATTATTTCGTCTTCCGACGCCAGATTGGAAACACAAAACTCGCAGTAAATGATTAATTATAAAAATTATTTTAAAAAAACTTATTTAGTTTTTGTCTGAATAGAACATATCACCCAGTAGGTAAAATTGTATAAGATACCGTGAAAAAAAATCTTACAAGTGTTATTTGTGGTTGTCTAATAAGTTACGAGTTTCTTTTTTTAGACATAAATTTTCCCATTACGTCAATGTCATTCAGACTCTCTCTGGACTTTACGTATGAAATGAAATAAGATCAGATAACTCCGAGAAACAATAAGACCTTCCCATAAAAATTGACCAATCGGAAACCGAGATATATAAAGAGAGTGGGAAGATACCTTTTACTGTGAGACGTATGTTTACAATTTGGTGTCGGTAGACGAAATAATTACGATTGACATACTTGAATAGGATTGCTACAGATGATTCCGAAAACAAAAGTAGGCTTGTCATACACCATTGTGTAGAAAAATCAATTTAGATTTACGACATAACAAGTTTTAGTGGGGTTGACAACTGAGAAATCGACATATAACGGAATTTCGCGACAGGCTGACATTTTTCAAAAAATGCGAGTTAATTACCTTGTGTTATATTAAGGTATATAGGGGAAAAAATTCTGAGACAAGTGCCTGTGCTTTAGACAGCTGATACAGGATTAATGAAAACTTATAAACATAACCAGTTTTACTTCTGTTGAAAATTCAGGTCAATACAAGCATTGAATGTAAAAAGTCTTACCATTAATAATTCTGACAGGAAAAAAGTAGGATATATAAGAAAAAGTTTCATAAAAAGTTTCTTGGAACCCTATGTCTTGGCTGAGATTGCTGCCGTAGAAGTTAAAGTGTAACGTTGACTACCAAAAACTAAGTCCATTTATGAGTCATTTATCAATGATTGAAAAAAGGCAAAATATTAGAAATAAAAACAATATGTTTTCAAAAAATCAGATTATCAGTAAAATACGGAACATCAATAAATAAACGTTTTTATAATTTCGCTCTGGAAACTGTTTTTTTATCAAGGAGCAGCGCCTGTCTAGGTTTCATGAAATTTGATGAAAGTTTTATAAAGTTATTGATCTTTAAAAAAATTTAAACCACAAATTGAACCTAAATGTTGATCATAATGACAACAATGGAATGCAGTATTGCAATAACCCCCGCCAGGGACTTTTAATTGAGACAAAAAGGAAGAAATATTGTTCTTAAAGCTATTAACAGAAAAATGTTTGATTATTTTTACTTACTGAAACATATCATTATCAGATTTATACCAAACAACGAAGTATTCCTCATTGAACCTTACAGTATGTAATGAAATTGTTTTCTGTTTGGACGGATGGACTGCAGAATAGATGACAGAATGGTCAAGGTAAATGTCATAGACCACCCAGTCTAGAAGTGGGAGGGCATAATAAATAGAGAATAGCATATGGCTTTTTCAATACCACATCTAGATCAAGCCAAGACACCAATATAATTCCTAGAGCTCTGCTCCAGAGATAATATTGTTTGAGGGTTGATATAGTCTGTGATATCGAAAAAGTAATATCATATACACTTTATTATATAAATCGAGTAGATGTTTTTCATGTGACATGACGTAATACAGATATAGGGTTTGATTAAACCTTGCAACTGTGACTGATAGCAATTACATGACATTATACATATAAGAGGTTTAATAAAGCCTTTGAAACTGTGACTAATATCGATATCATCACGGATAGCTGATACAGCACAATTGCCATTGAACATATTACACATACAATTTACTTGTATTTACTAATAGGTATATAACAAATAATACTATTGATATCAATGAAACACATAGCATGTTATCTTACCAAGAACAGGTGCAGCATCCACTAATGTAGCCACAAAGAATGCTTTATCATCCTGAAAGTAAAACTGAGGGGAGGTAATCCTGAGTGGTGATGCTCCTGTTGCAGCTGCTATAGCATTTAGTGTTTCAAACAAAAACAATTGTTTGTATACTCTTACAGGGGTATCAAAAGTTCCTGAAATTATATATATCATTACATGTACAATCAAATAATAAAATGCTCCGCTGGGCGCAGCTTGATACGACCGCAGAGGTCGAACCCTGAACAGTTGAGGCAAGTATGGACACAACATTCAAGCTTGATACAGCTCTATATTTGGATTGTGATTAAATATTTGACACAGCATAGGTTTCTGACACAGAATGAATGTGGTCTAAGAACTTAAAAATTTTTAATTTACCTATTATGGTCCAATATCCAAAATCTAAATACATACATGGTAATCAAAGAACCCCAAGAATTCAATTTTTGTTAAAATCAAACTAATTTTAATTTTGGACCCTTTGGACCTTATTGTAGACCAATTTGAAAACGGGACCAAAAATTAAGAATCTTAATACACGGTTAGATTCAGCACATCAAAGAACCCCAAAATTTCAATTTTTGATGAAATCAAACCATATCATTATTATTTGCTTTTATATATAAATAAAAAATAACCAACTTAAAATGTAAAATTTTAAAGGAAAAAAAAAAGGAAAAAAAGGAAAAAATAATCCCCCCCCCCCCCCCCAATTTTTTGAACCCCCTAATGATTCATCACCCCCAAACTCAATCCCAGCCTTCCCTTTGTGGTATGGTACCTTGCAGTACAATTTTAGAGAGATCCATACACTTGAACACAAGTTATTGTCTGGAAACTGTAAAAATGCTTGTTTTTTGGCCCCTTTTTGGCCCCAAATTCCTAATCGTTTAGGGCAATTACCCCCAAACTCAAACCCAGCTTTCCCTTTTAGATATGGAACTTTGTAGTACAATTTCATAAAGATCCATACACTTACACACAAGTTATTGTCCTGAAACTAGAAAAATGCTTGTTTTTTGCCCCTTTTTGGCCCCTAATTCCTAAAATTTTGAGGCAATTACCCCCAAAATCAATCCCAGCCTTCCCTTTGTGGTATGGTACCTTGCAGTACAATTTCAGAGAGATCCATACACTTAAACACAAGTTATTATCTGGAAACTAGAAAAAATGCTTATTTTGGGCCCCGTTTTGGCCCCTTATTCCTAAACGTTTTAGGCAATTACCCCCAAACTCAATTCCAGCTTTTCCTTTGTGATATGGAACCTTGTAGTACAATTTCAGAAAGATCCATACACTTACACACAAGTTATTGTCCTGAAACTAGAAAAATGCTTGTTTTTTGCCCCTTTTTTGGCCCCTAATTCCTAAAACTTTAAGGCAATTACCCCCAAAATCAATCCCAGCATTCCCTTTGTGATATGGAACCTTGTGGTACAAGGTCAGAGAGATCCATACACTAACACACAAGTTATTGTCCGGAAGTTACAAAAATGCTTATTTTTGGCCCCTTTTTGGCCCCTAATTCCTTAACTGTTGGTACCATAACCCCCAAAATCAACCCCAACCTTTCTTTTGTGGTATTGAACCTTATGGTAAAATTTCATAGAGATCCATTCACTTAAACTAAAGTTAGAGTGCGAAAACCAATGTGTCTTCGGACAACGACGACAACGTCATACCAATATACGACCTCAAAAATTTTTTGCAGTCGTATAAAAAGCACAAAAAATTACAAAATGTGTGTATTTTAGTCTTGTAGATACATAAATTTTTTTTTAGTTGTTATTGGCTTTGAACTAGCTGTTAGTAACTTAAGGTACTCTCAGATCTGTACTTTGTGTCTTTTTTTGTTGTGAGCGATTTATAAATACCCTGCCACATCCGGTCTGTGTTTTTATTAGATGTTTTTCTGCTTAGTATCGATCTGATGAATTAAGCCCTTTTCAACTGATTTTTAAAGTTTGTTCTTTAATATGTTGTACTGTTACACCACTGTGCCAGGTAAAGTGGATGGTTAGTGCCTTCAAACATGTTTTATCCTGCCTATTTCTGTATGTGCCAGGAGCCTGAACTAAAGTATTCATGGACATCATTACTGCTCAAGTGAAACAAGTTAGGTCAAGGGACTTTAATTTAAATTTACTTCAATTCCATCACAACAAATTTAGTTATAAGGCCTTTTTCATTAGGTTACTTCTCTAATAAATACATTCTCTTGAGAAACCTATCATTTTTTTTTCAAAATTATATAAGAAACTAATTTGAAGTTCAGCAAATCATCAGATGTTGCTTCAATCATCATGTAATTCTTTTCCTGTCAAAGGATGGTTAGATGAGGCATAATACTGAATCAAATATCTTAAAATACAAGATAAATGTCAATTTTTCATGTAAATTGTCAAACATTTGGTGAAAATTTCTGTTCAAATTTAGAAGTCCCTGAATTTTGTTTTGTTTTGAAGATTAAAAACTCACTGATGACACTGAAAAGGGGTACATAACAAGTTTAATTGATTTACCAAAAAATGTTAGTTTAAAACTGATTGTATCTGCTCCTGAAAAACACGGACTGATATCAAATACTGTCAACTCTGGGTTCTCTTGGTCAAAGTCATAAAACATGTAGGTAATGGTCTGTGGTACCTACAAATAAAAGTCGTTCAAGTCTATTAACACATTTGTTAATACATTTGTGTCATATAATGATAGCAATTGACTCCTTATCTAAAGTGAAAGTCAAATACAGCTGTCAGACAAACTTGTGCTTCAAGAATCAAAGAAGGGAACCCAAAACAGAATGAACCACAAGAACCACATGACATACTTACAAGAATGAACTTAAAACATATGGATATTGTACCAAACCTCAAATTTATACAGATTTACCACAATTTCTACAATTCCAAACATGTGCAACAACCATACATGTCACATCCAGCCGCAATTAGAAGCAGTACCTCCTTCAGAGTGAAGCCAGTTGAAATGGTATGGAATGTCCAGTGTTGTCCATTTTAGAAATGATACGGACAATTTATTATAAACTTTTACTTAAACTTTCTTTTTAACATTGTCATACCAATAATTGTGAGGACACTTCCTGTTAACCTTTCTGTAAACCCACATGAACCTCATTTAATGTACTTCAGTGTTTGTTTACAATCTTTATATTGTCCTGAAGACTCTCAGTGGTGGAATATGTCGGCCATGGAAATAAATTTCTTTCCTGTAACCAGGATGTTGTTGTCTTTTTATAGTTTGTTCTAATATGATGTTTTAAGAAAACCACAGCATACTTCGGTATCAATCCTGATTACTCTACCAGAATGTGCAGCCAGAAGGTGTTGGTTTACTTGACTTATTAAGCATAGACCAATGTGACTGTGTTGTTTTCTGATATCACTGCCTCCTAGAATTCAACACTTATTTATAAAGACAACAAACAAAGACTTTTCATTGTTGAGAGTAACTGTTAGTTATATTGAAAAATTCTAATCTCCCTGATTTAGTAAATTGTTTAGAGGCAAGGGAGACAACTTACTGTTGGAAGTGTTACTATAAGTTGTATAGGTATATCACTTCCTCCTGGATTGGTATTTCCATCATTATTTGACGATGATTGACTCATCTGCAAAATATATAAAATTATGACATACTACCTATAATATTATTCAAGGTTCATGTGGACCCTTTGGCTAAAATATCTGTGTTTACACCACACAATTTACTCTGAGTGCAGACAAACCTGTGCATCTGGAAACATTTTAGGTAATAGCATATCCTAGATATACAAGTATTAAATTCAAATGCATTTTATGTTTCAGAAAATAAAAAAAACTTAACTGGATTTTGCTGTCCACTTTTTCTTCCTTCAGAAGATGATGAAATAAACAAACACCTGAGTTTCATTTGATACAGTCCAATCAGTTACACAGTTTAAATCTATTGTTGTCAGATATCTATTGTCCCTCTATCGTGCTTGCCAATCAATACAGTTTATCTTGATTATTACACAGGGGAAAGTTCTCAAAAAAATTTGTTTATTTTGGCACCTTCTGCAGAAATGAAAAAAAGTGGACAGCAACATCCAGTTAAGTTTTTATTTTCTGAAGCATAAAATGCATTTTAATTTTATATATCTAGGGCATGCTATTCCTAAAATAATTTCCTGAAGCCTGATGTTTGTCTGCACTCAGAGTAGATTTTGTGGTGTAAACAAAACCATTTTACCCAAAAGGTCCATATATACCTTAATACCTCTTAATTGACCCATTTTTTATGCCACACCTGGAAATATACTCTGACTTGAGATTTTTCAATCTGATCATCTGCCAGGTTGTCAGATGTTGATGACATCACTGAATATGACTATACACCAGTTTTTACTAGCCATGAGCTTTGCTATAAGGGCCAATAGTAGAGCATGAGCTGCTTACCTTCCAGAGCAACAGTTGGTTTTGGCACGGTTGTGATAGATCTTCCTAAATGTTTTGTGCTGTGTTTTTTTTATTATTTTTTATTTTGGCAATGATTCTATGAAACAAATATAGTTGGTTTTTCTTTGTATTGTAACCAAGAAACTGACCTAAGTTGAAAACTTAATGTTGCTCATTCAATCATCAAAAGAGGTCAAGGCCAGATAAACATGTATAATTTACAACCATTCTATAGACTGTATATAATTACCTACTACTACAGGAGTGATGGTCAGTATAGTTACCTTATTACTCATAGTAAGTAAGGAACTGAGCTTAGCATGAAAAGTCAAAATTCTCATAATTATCACTGAACTATAAAAAGAGGTCAAGGTCAGATGACTCCTAAAATATCTATATACCAAATGAAGTCACATCTTCATAAAAGTAACCTGACCTTATCATGAAAATTAAACAAAGTTAAAACATTTTTTAAACCATGAAAAAAGGTCACGAACATATGCCAGATGGAAAGTCATCTGTATACATGATATGGTGTGTGTACCTCTTCCAATAATATACATTGTAAGTATAACAACAGAAAACATAGCTTCCAGTAAAACAAGTCTTAATAGTTCTTTTAAATAAACAAATGGTATTGAAAAAAGAGTTTTTACACAAAATGAAGATCACTCTATATAAAGAAGTACTTACAGCTAAGAAATAATATTCTAGTACGGCAGAATATTGAAATCCTCCAAGAGAGAAATCACTGCGGTTTGAAATAAAAACATCACACAACAATCCACGAGCATATCTCTGAAAAAATTACAACATTATGTAATTTATCATGTGTTTTTCATTAATGTGACTTTCCTTGTTATATATAAATTATTGAAAGGTTTTTCAAGTCCTGTTATTTCAACAAATGAACAATCAATTGAATGTTTTTTTTTTTTACTCTTTGTGGTAGGGGAAAATGATTTCAACAGTAGTTTGGTATTATTTTTACAAAAAATTTGTAAGGGTTCCGCGGAACCCAGTGTCTCGCCTACTTTTGCTGTTAGTCGCAGGCTCAACAAAAATGGGGAAAAAATTATTAAAAATTTTCCTCTAGATACTATCTTTTGATTGTAAGAAGCTTCTATCCAAGTTTGGTAAAAATTCAGGATGGTTAATGAATCTAATAAATGTTCTAAAAACTTTTACTGCAGACTGTATGTAATGTTAACTGGAAGAATTAAAGCACTGTAAGCGCTATAGGCAGTTAACCAAAAACCAAGGCAAACGTAATTATGAAAACTGTGGCAGTGTTGCTTAATTTTTTTAGATTTGAAAGAACAAACATTAAACATTCGTATATTGTACATGTATGTTTATTTAATGAATTGATTATTAAGGCAAATTAATTAATATTTTATCAAGGTTTTGAAAAGCAATGCATATATCAATGTATATTTTTAATGATGAGTTTGCAGTGGTACAAGTTCGCAATGATTGCAGTTGTTCTAGTTGGTAGTTAATGATGGTACCAGTTGACTTTTAGTGGTACAAGTTGACGTATTACGAGTTTGTAATAGTATGAATTGACTTGCTTCCCTGGCAGGAACAATGCGTTTGGGTTCTACAGTACAAAAGTTATGAGACACAAATCAGCCAAAGGTTTACTACTACAGGGATCAAAGGTGAGGTCTGATTGACCTGCCCATAGTAAATGTAAAAGTTTGGAGTAAAATGACAGGTGATTATAAAACAATTGGTCAAACATTCTTGTGGACTCCCTATCTTTCATTTGATTTGTTTTACTGTTCCATACAAGAATATATATGCAGTAGGGGTGGGGATCTTGACCGTTTACAAGTTCTCAAACAGAAGGGGATGGGGTGACGCTGGGGATTCCCCCAAATTTTCATTTGATTTGTTTTATTGTCCCATACAAGTATATATATGGTTTAGGGGTGGGGATCGCGACCGTTTACAAGATAAAAACACATTTTCAAATTGAAGGGGGTGGGATGACCCCCCAGGGACTCACCCAATATTTTATTTGATTTGTTCCATTGTCCTGTTATTATTAATGAAGACCGTGTGTGTCTATCACTTACTGTTTTCAAGTAATAGTCATTTGAAAATTGAAAAAAAAATAAAATCCCATAGGGTTCTATAGTAAACCCCTCCCTTCTTAAGGCCCCTCAAAATACCCCTAAATAGACCCCAAGGCACAAACGAAAGATTGATGGCTCCGCTAGACATGTTAGTCTAACATTTAATGAAACCATAAGTAAATCTGACAAGCGGTCCAAGTTGTCTTCTTAGACGGTGCGAGTGGGGGCCGAGTGGACTCGGTCCGACTTGTCTAGGGGACGAGTTGTCCACATTTCTTAAAACATCCAATCAACGTCGATTTTCATCTTTGTCATTCATAAAACAATAACAACTTTATTTGGCAAGTTTAGCGATGTCACTGATGAACGGAATAATTTAATAAAAGAAAGGAATTTAAATGTGCATACATTTAATTGAAATTAATTGATTAATCACAATATTCTTAAACGAAAAGAAGATCATGATAAACAAAACTTACTTTATAACATCAAAATACTTACTAGCTTACAATTCGTGTAAGTTAAAATTACAGCCAACTTAGACTACTATGTATAACTTTATTTCCTCTATCATAGAGATTTGGTGTACATGAACAATATTTCTGTGCCGTTCGCCATTACATGGGGAATGTAAACAACTTGTAATTAGAGATTTTTGGCGATGAAATATTTCATACAATTGATCTTTGACATCTTAGCCAAAAACACATGGGATAATAAACTACGTACAGATTTCTATTGAGCACTACTTCCTATGTGCAACTTCAAAAATTTTGGGTGGTTCGACGATCATTTAAGGTTTTTCCGGTCATATTTTTTGTATTCCAGAATTGAAAGTATGAAAAAAGTGCCCAATTAGTTATTAATAACATATTAGCCAGCTAGATAATAACAATAGCACTTTTTACACCATTCAGTGGGAAGAACACAAATCTAGAGTGGTAGCATAAGGCAGCTTAACTGCCTAAAAACTAAGTCCATTTATAAGTAATTTTAGGAAAAACAGGAAATAAATTTTTACAAAATTTCCTTCTAGATACTAGCTTTTGATCATAAACAAGCTTCTGTCCAAGTTTGGTGTCGCGAGGCGTGAACATGTATTTAAAATTGCACTCCGCTTATTACTCCTTTTGTTATAGATCCATTAATTGTTTAACTGAACTCCGTTCTTTGTTTAAAACTCCTTCCTTTGTTTAATATGATCCTGTCATTGTTAAATGCACTCCTTTCATTGTTTCATATTTGCTATATAAAGCCAGAAGAGCTTAATCAAAAAAAGATAATATTATTGTATATGTATCGATGTTACTGATGGAATAAATAATCAAGAAAGTAATGTGAGTTCTTTATACTACCAAAATATCCAATTTCATATGCTTGTCTGACAAGGACTTCACAACATTTTATGGTGCAGGAACCCGGGAATAGGGAACAATTCTGTTAACTTCAAACGAATACAAGATGACGACTTTGTGCCATATGAAAAGTGTTAGAACCAGATATAGGAATATGTTATACACGGAAATTCAAGAAGGGAATTCAATTCTACATGCGGAAATTTCTAATTCGCAATGTCAGGAAATGGTGCACAAATCCCCCAAGTGTATTGAAAAATTGAAAGTTTATATTAACAAATTGGAAATTCAAAGTATCAAAGTTGCTAGTTCATTAGAAGAAGATCAATCTGGAACAGCAGATAAATTGGCAGATGAAGATTGCAAGTTATGTTCAGACGCAACAGACTGTTATTTGGACCTAGAGAACTTGAAAGAAAGGTTAGTTGATAATATTAAATTAGAAACTACAGAAAATGTAGAGAAAATCAATCTGTCAGATTTAATTCAACTTCAGCAAGAAATGAAAGATATAATACAAACACAATTGAAACAACAAGATGAATTCATAAAGAGCCAACAAAAGGGTGAAAGTACAGAAACAAATGTGAAATTGCCATAAATTGATATAATTTCCATTAATGGTGACAAGACAAAATGGAATGAGTTCTGGGATTCTTTTAAATCTACTATTGATCAAAACAAAAGGCTTTCAAACATTGACGCAATATATGCGATTTCTGGATTAAATGTGTCGCATGAAAACTATATTGTGGCAGTGAATATTCTTAAAGAAAGGTTTGGGAATGCCCAAGATGTGATTGATTTGCACTACTGTGAGATATAAATTTACAATGCCCTTCGAATAAAACATATTTACTGAGGTTATTCATAGATAAAGTGAACCGTCATTTAAGAAGTCTTGAAGTATAGAAACAAAGTGTAGACCAAGATATATTTGTCTCAATGGTGCGTTCAAAATTACCACAGGAAGTGATGCTGCAACTTGAAATTCAAAAAGGAACTAAAGAAAAATGGTGTGTGCGATCTTTATGTAATAGATTAATGGATTATGTAGTGGCAAAGGAAAGGTCGGATAAAAGTGATGTTCAAAAGGATCGTCATAATAGTCTAAACAATAACGGAGCAAATTCTTTGTCAAAACGAAATCAGTTTCAAGGAAATGTTTCTAAATTCCAAAACGGATCACGTCAGTTTCAAAACAGAAGTACAGCCGAAGCACTTGTAGTGATTGGAAATGATACTTCGCAGAACTCATCTTATTTTGATAAGTGTAGATTTTGTCAAGGAAAGCATTGGAGTAATGAATGTCCTAAATACAAAACCATTGATGAAAGGAAAGCTCAGTTGAAAGGTAGTTGTTACAAGTGTTTACGTAAGACACATAAATCAGCTGATTGTAAGAAAGGAAAATTGTGTATACATTGTGGTGTTTTGAACAGTCATCACCGGAGGTTATGCCCCAAAAAGTTCAGATCAGTATTAACAAGTGTCCATTTGAGTGAGGAATATGATAATTCTTCTAGTGGATTAAGTAGTGGCGTGGAACAATCATTTACAAGTTTAAGTGAACAGAGAGAAACTACATCGGAGAATATGTTGATATCATCTAGTGAAATTGTTCTTATGCAGACCGCTAAAGTTGAAGTGAACAATCCAAATGATTCTTTAAAACAAACAACCAGTTTGTTGTTTGACTCCGGATCTCAGAGAACCTACATTTCTCAAAAGTAAGCCTCAAAGTTGAAATTGAAATCTGAAGGAGACGAGGACATTACAATAGTTACGTTTGGAAGTGAGAAGGCCAGAACTGTGAAAACCGCATCAACTAGTTTATGTATTCGATTGAATAATGGAAAAGTGTTGGAAATTTCGGCTAACATTGTGCCAGTTATCAGTGGAACTGTTCAACGGAGAAGATTAGATACATCTTCGATTGAAAATGTGAGACATTTTGTAATGGACGTTGAATTAGCAGATGTCATACCAACCCAATGCGAAAGGTCTACTGTAGATTTGTTGATTGGAAATGATCACTATTTTGATTTCATTCTTGGACAAAGGATTGAAATTCAACCTGGCTTGTATCTACTAGCTTCTAAGTTGGAATGGATAATCACAGGAAGAACTAAAGAAAATGATTATTCACGAGAGGATATTGAGAGTAGTTTTCTGATAATGTCATACACAGGATCAAATGTACAGAAGACTGATACATGTATTACGTCTGTCCCTAACATTACAAATCTGTGGAATTTGGAGTCAATAGGAATAAGTGACGATGACAAATCGACGGAAGACTCTAGAGCCTTAGAAATGTTCAAGGAAACGTTAGAATATTCAAATGGGAGGTACTACG